GTGGTGGTTGCTGAGACTTCGTCTGTGCTTAACACTTTGAATCAGTAAAAACCCTTTGGACTGAGAGGAGAGGAGATTGAAACTTAACACTTCTAATCAGTAAAAACGGAACCCTTGGGACTGAGAGGAGAGGAGATCGAAATTTAACACTTTGAATCAGTAAAAATCCTTGGGACAGAGAGAGGAGGGGAGGAGATCGAAACATAGACATGTCCAGAGATGCAAGATTAATTTTTTTTTTGAGACCTGTAGAGAGAAGAGATCGACAGAGAGAGGCAGTAGAGAAGAAAATAAATTTTTTTTTTTTGAGACCTGTTGAGACAAGAGATCGACAGAGAGAGGCAGTAAATAAATTAGAGCGTTAGATTGCCTTTGGTCCAAATTAATCCGACGGTAGAGATTGTGATCCGCATAGAATCATTTTATTGGTCAATGACAATTTTCCTTTTTTTCCTCTTTTAACTTGTTTGTTTGTAATTCTTAAGCTAAAATTATTTAGTAATAACCATATCTTTAATTTATTGAAAAAAAATATTTAGTACTAAATAATGGCTGTATGTATATAGTTAATTTTATATTTATATTTTATGGTTTATAATTAAAATTTTAAGATTACAAGTTTAAAATGAGATATGTGGATTAGGGGTTAGGTTGAGAATTAGGATTAAGTATGTGGTTTGAGTTTTAAAACATACTTGGAATTTAAATTATAAGTTTGTAAAGATTGGATTTATGATTTTATGTGTAGAGTTTAAGTTTGGGTATAGGGTATTGGATATATAGTGTAAATTTAAGATTTAGTGTTTTGAGATGTAAAGTTATGTTAATGTATGATTTGAGGTATATATATGTAAGGTTTATAGTTTAGATATATAAAATAAAAGGTTAAGATAAAAATTTTTGAAATTAACTTTTGTAAGTATTGGCTAGTATAAAATTAGGATCTTTTAAATTAAAGACTTGATGTTAAAAATATCAGATTAGACTAAAGACTTTACATGTAGGGTTTAAGTTTGGGGATTAGGGTATTAGATTTAGAGTATAGTTTTAGATTTAGTGTTTGAGGTTTAGATTTTGAATTTGAGATTATATTTTTAAATGATTAAATTTTGAGTTTAAGTTTAAGATGGAAGTTTTTTTGATCAAAAGATGGAAGTTATATTATGAAAATATTGAAATTTTAAAGTTTATATTTAGGGTTTAGGGTTTAGAGTTTAGGGTTTAGGGTGTTGTTATATATTTTTAAAAATACAATTACAAAATACAAATAAACAAAAAATAATTTTATAAAATGTAATTTGTTAAGATTACAACTCAAATATTGTTAATATTTTTATAAAATGTAATTTGTTAAGATTACACTTAAGAATAAAAAAATCAAAACTCTCTTCCTCTCGAAGTTTCCCCCTCGGAATCACACCAACGAGTCTACTCCGACTCTCTTTCTAGTTCTCTCCTCCAACTAGCATCCTCATTGCTTCCTTTCTCTACGTTCATAATCAAATGCAAGTCTCAGAACAGAACAAGTGATTCAATAATCAAACCCAAGAAATACATCTTAAAAGAACGATCCAAACTTAACATGTGTAATCTTGACATTGGCTTTCTGTTTTCGTCTCTGGTGGATGTCCTAATGCACCTCTTTGATTCCTACCCCATGTAAACAGCTGAGAAACCATCTAAGCTATAAATGCATTAGTTTTTCTTTTTTCAAAAGATGTATCAACATATAGGAGCAAAGCCATCTCATATATAAACAAAGATAATTACATGAGTTAAGATTAAATCCTCCAAAGTATCTTACTTTCTCACCAACCGAGCTATACTCGAGGCTATGGAAGGAGAGAAGATGGTTCACATGATTGATCTCGATGCTTCAGAGCCTGCTTTTAACTCTAGGCCTGAAGGTCCACCGCATCTGAGGATCACTGGCGTTCATCACCACAAGCGACTCAATCTCATCTTCTTAAAACGTTCGGATAGATCAGCACTACCAAACCTCTTAAACCTCACAGTCTCAGAAACCTCTGCGTTATTAGCCTTCACAAACAAAATTGCAGGAAGCACCTATAGATAAAATCATCCACTTTAGTCATAAAAAAAAATCAAAGTGTAAGAATAGAAGAATCAGAGACTAATACTTCATTCAAGTAGGCGGAGAGTAACACATTCACACAGATAAAGATTCAATCTTTGTACATACATTGACTTTGCAGAGAATAACTTGGAATTTATTGTGAGCTTCTGCGTTACCTTCAACGAAGTTAATCCGCATCACAGGTCAACATAGCTTCTGCATTTCACCTTCAAACATCAAACGAAGCATGTTATAAATACAATCAAACACATAAACATAAACTATGATCACAGAGAACTTAGGAGAACAAACATAAACTCTGATCATTAGGAACTTAGGAAAATAAACATAAACTCTGATCATGCTCAGGAGAATACAGATTAACGCCTCTAAATTATATATTAAGCTTTTGGAATCTTTCTCTAACTTAGGTTCACAACAGAAGATACACATAGACTCTGATCATTGAAAACCATCTACAAA